AGCTTCCTTCCCCTTGGAGCACATTCCAAGCCAGCCTCGGCGGCACCTGCGGAACAGTTTTGCTTGCAAGTCTCAGCAGCAGTTTGGAACCGACACCAACGGCTCCTCTGTCGCTGTGGTGATTGGTGTTAGCGCGGGGTGGGTGATGGGGAGATTTTTCCCCTCTCGCCTCTGTCTCACACAAGCTGAATCCACAAGCTGGGTGGGAAATTAGCCATCTCGGCATTTTTCCGCCTTACTTTGCTTTTTTGGTTGATGTCATAACGTAACATATGGCATCGTACAGAGAAATGAAAAACAAAAACCAGGAGAAACAAACCCCTTCCTGCCTTCCCCTGCCCCACATCTATTCCCAAACTTCACCTGCCAGACCCGGGGCTGCTCCAGGGGCGCAGGACTGACTCGGGACAACCCATCCCGCTTGCACTGGCAGTGAGCTGGAGTTTAGTGGGGCAAGCCTCATTCCTCACCTCCCAGATCCACTAGCATCATCCCTGAGATTTTTGGGCAGAGGCTGCCTGCGTCTGCACAGCTGGGGAAAGGGTATCTGAGAGGGAACTCTGACCCCGACCATCCCTCCGTGTCTCAGCTCCCCCCGCACCGGCTCCGGGCGGACACAGCCCTTCTCTCCGACACGGCGCCAGCCTTAGAGGTGCCCCAGCCGTTCCCTGCAAGGACACATCTGTTTTACTACCGATGCTGCCCTGCCTGGGGAGAGAGGGTATTAGAGGGAGAAACACTGATAATCTTATCGGTCGACAGAAACGCTGATGGCTTAGTTTTCTAGCAGTAACCCTGGGCAGTAACCCCATGGCAGGGGGGGTTGGAACTAGATGATCTTTAAGGTCCCTTCCAACCCTAACCATTCTATGATTCTATGATTCTCATCCCTCCAAGAAGAGACGCCCAAAGAAATACAGCAGCTGTTACCTGCCGGTGACTTCAACGTTGGAGACAGCATAGAAGTACTTGTACAAGTTCTCCCTCTGCACGTAGGTGCCCCCCAGGGCTGGTCTCAGCAACCTCATCCGCAGGTCGGTCACGGTGAAGAAGTCCTTGAGCCCTTTGGCGCTCTCCAGCCGGGTGTACAAGTTGTCCATGTTCTTGAGGTCGGGGCCAGCGAAGATGGCAAAGCGGTCCCTCACCTCAAACCGGACGGTCTTCTCTTTTTTGGAGCCTGCCCAGCGGGAATACTCCTCCGTGCAGAGGACCCTGTTGGCACTGGTGGTGGAGAGGTCCCGGACCCTCCGTGCTGGCATGCTGAAGGCCTCCATGCAGTCATCTGCGTAATACTGGTACGGGTGCCAAGTCCTCCCGTTGTCCAGCGACTTCTCTAGCATCATGATGGTGGGTCGGCCGTACTCGAAGGTTATCACGATGTCATCCGTCAGCTCGATGCTCTTGTTCCAGGACAGGGTGATGTTGGCCAACAGCGGCTCCGGGTACCGGCGCCACGTCACGCTCTGCCAGTACGTGGCCAGCCCTTCGTCCTCGCTGTCGAACATGAGCTTCGGTGGGTGGGCCAGGTCGGGGTTGGAGGCGTCGCACTCGTCACTGCACAGGTACGGGTTCTCCTGGAACAACAACAACGGTCACGAGAAGAGAAGGCAATGCCTGGGCATCGCGTGGGCATCAGGGGCACGCGGCCAAGCTCGCAGCGTTACTGGGCCCTGGTCTGAGCTGTTTGTGTCAAACATTAACCGCTGGGCTGAGCTGGGGTGTGCTGGGCATCTGGCTCTGGATGATGCTGAGCATGAATTTGAGACAGAAACACGTGGCCTTGCCTTTGCTATAAGAACAGCTGAGCTGTTTCCTTTGAAAGGCCCTTCGGGAAAGAGCCTTTCAATTTGGCACGGGGGCAATTTTCATAGAAAGCGCTTTCCCTGAGATGATCTCCGAGAAACTTCGCTTCTGGTTGGCTGAGTTACAGGCCTATGGAAAGTTGTGTTCACCCCAGTTCCTGTGTGAGAACAGAATGGCTGAAATCCCCAAAGCACATCCATGCCTCTGATATGGAATGGGTGGGGGCACACCATCCCCCAGTGCCTCTCAGCATTTTCCTGATCTGGGACAGGACTGGGAAGTTGGTGGAGAGAGCAGAGGTTTGTGCTCCCGGTGTCTCTGCTGTCCCTGGCCTTGGGGACAAGCAGAGCAGGTAGGCTCTGGGTGCACACTCGCAGCCCAGTGTGATGCCCATTGCTGGTCACTCCTCACTTCAACCTACCCAAACTAACTGGGAAGAGGCTGGCCTGACGGGGAGGGAAGGGGAAGGGAACGGGACAGGCGGCTCTGTGCCCACCTGCCAGCGTCCAGAAGGGACCTGGGGCTCACGCAGCCTAAACACCGTCCCCAGCTCCTTGCTGCTTGTCCAGGCACCCTGCGCCTGTGGCAAGGCCAAGACAACCTCAGTTAGCGTCTGTCTGTGCAGGAACCGCGTCAGGTAGCTGTGCCCGGCAGCCCCGCTGCCTGCGGGGATGGGCCCTTCCCAAGCCACGCTGCCTTCCCCAGCTGCCAGGCAGGAGGTGCGAACGTCCTCGCCTGCCCACAGGGACCACGGTGGGAAGGAGGGCTCATCCCATCCAGGTGACAGTGTCCGCTGCTACGTCACTCCTTGTCTGCAGGCCTGGGCATGGGCAGAAAAGGTCTAGCCATCCCATTTTGCTCACAAGTGACAGTGCATGACCAAGCTCATGTTTTGCAGGGACACGCGCACACATCCACACGTGCTGAGCTGCACTAAGGACGTATCATCAAGGTCACACCCCAAATGCTGACGTTTGGGAGGCACACAGCAGGGTTAGCCATGCCAGTGGGTCCATCATTACAAGCTGGGGGGTCTCTCTTGCCCTGCAGCCCCTTCCTCTGGGAGCGTGTGGGTCAGACCTGCCTTGGGGATGATGTGGGGCTGTGTTATAGTAGGTACTGCCCGCAAAAAACTCTGCAACATGCCACAAATCTTTTTTACATGTCAGGCACCTCTTTGCTGTCACTTCCCTCTCGGATTCAAAATTCAGAGGACTGGGGAGGGAGGGGGATTGGTAAGACAGCAGGCTCTGCTGCGGTGGGGTCCTCATCAGGGAGGCAGAGCTACCTGAGAGGGCAGGAGGTGATAAAGCAGATGGAGCTGCTCAGCGCTGATGGCCGGGGGTGAGGAGCCTGCTGGGGTGTGAGCTCTCGCCCTCCTGAGCACAGCGGACTTGCAAGGTAAGGCTGCGCTGGCTTTCACCGTCGGGTTTGTGGATGTTTTGGGTGCGGTGGGGAGCTGTGGGAAGGTGCTGTATGCGGGGAGCAGCATGTTCCTGCCCGGCCCTGGGGACCTCCAGCAGCGCTGGGGCTGTGCTGAGGTACAGGGGGCTGGTGCTGGTACCTGGGGGCTCGAGCGAACAAGGTGCAGGGCTGGGGTATGCGCAGGTGCTGTGTGTCTCAGGGCTGGGAGAGCCCCGCTGCAAGTGTGGGAAAGGCTGCTCCTGTGTCCCGTGGTGCTGGGGACAGGTCCTGCACCATGGGCTTGCTTTGACCTGGGTGACTTGGAGTCTAAGTGCTTGCGACCCCCTTTCAGGATGCCCCAGGTATACCCCGGCAAAGCAGAGGGGAGCTGGCTTGCACAAGTGGATGCTCTTGGATGCAGAGTGCAGCTGTGCTTTGAATGTGGAAAACAATGTGTAACGTGAGGTGCTCTGGAAAACCTGGGCTTTGCCACCTCTAGCTGGGCAACCAAAAGTCCTGGGAACCACTTAGAGCTCCTCCACTCTGTGTCTGTAAAATGGGCCTTTGGCGCTCGGAGCCCCGCGCTGAATGCGAGTGTGCACAGCCAGTGGAGGCTGCAGTGCCGAGGAGCCCGGAAAAGCTCAGGATGACATAAATAATTCTGTCTTTGGAGCAGGGTGCGAGTAGAGTGCTGTAAATAAGGCAGAAAGCCACTCCACCAGCAGCGGGGATAAAGCAAAACAGCGAGCAGCTGATCCATATGTGAGCACCCAGCTCCTTTGCAGGGGACGCAGAGGCGGCCGTGGGGAGAAGCGGGGACTCCTGTAAATACAGAATGCGTTGTCGTGCGTGCGCGCGAGGCTGCCAAGGAAAGCAGCAGAAGCCAGTTGGTGAAACAGGGCAAAACTCACACTGTTTTTAACATGGTTGTGCTGTTGGAGACGCTCCTGCCTGACGATAAAGCCACGTTCCGTGCTGGGATTTGCCCCTCCTGTGACAGCCTTAGCTTGAGCGATGGGTGGCTTTTGCCATCTCCATATGCTGGGAGGAAGGGCTGCAGCCGGAGCTGCCGAGCTCCGCCACGGTGCCCATCCCCGGGGCAGGGAGGGTACTAAACAGATGCTTTGCTGGATGTTTTAAAAGCAAATGGCTATAGTTTTATTATTTTGCACTTGCAGCTGTGCCAACTCAGCAAGGGAAATCAATGGAGTGCTCAGGTGGGTGAGGGGAGGGCACCTGCCCAGGCACTCCCCACTCCCCTCCCAAAGAGGGGGCTATGCCCCAAGCCACGAGCCATCAGCTGGGGTGCAGCAGGGCTCTGAGCTGTCCTGGGGGGGTCTTCTCCTGCTGCAATATGCTGTTCCAGAGCAGGAATTAACAAAACCTAAGCTATTGACATATTTAATGTGCTCTCCTGACTTGTCACGTTCAGAGGAATTGTTTATCTCTGCTAATGAGACCCAGCTTCCTGCTGGGGAACGGAGCCGCCTCTTCGCACAGCTTTACAGCAGCGGCTGATGGAAAAGGAAGAAAAATCCCCATCAGCTGAAGCGCAGGGTGCTCTGAGTACGTTCCCTGTGCTGAGGCAACATATTGTGTTGCAGTATGGTCCCACTGCCAATGTGGCCATACAGATGGCTTAATAGGGCGGTCCTGAAAAGACCATCCTGGAGGTCCGTTGTCATCTCCTGTCTGAGAGGGGGTGCAGCGTCCTGGTGGGCTCAAGTGAGGAATTGGCAAGATGGCAATAGAAAGCTTCCCGATAAACCTGTCGGGCTGATCAGGGCAGCTCTGTGCCAGCAGGAGACGGCGTGCCCAGAGCTGGCGCTCTCTTGCCAGGTGGCTTCCTTTCCTTGCATGCGGTAGCCACCACAGCTGCCAAAGCCCTCGAGCTGGTGTAGGATGAATCTCCACGGAGTGTCACTTCTAGGGCTGTCCCCAGTGTGGCCGTACTGGCCAGCTTCACCTCTGTGGCGAGGGATGATGCTCCTGTCAAGGTTTCCTTTGGAGGCTTCCTTACGCAGTGGCCAAGCTACACAAGGGAAGGACTCTGTGACCAAACCACAAGAAAACATTACCCAGACCAGCACAAGGTGGACAGGGTGGGAGGTGGGACACGTTTCCCAGGAGCAGTGAGGGAAGCAACCAAGTCTGACAGGTGTGATGCCCCTCCTGGTGTCCCATCTGGAGGGACAGAGCTGGCCAGGCAGGTCCCTGGCAGGAGACCTGGCAGGTCAAGAGCAAGAAGAAGGGGAGCCAAAACTGCCTGTCTCCCATATGCTCGTCTCCCAGAGATGAGGGAATGGGGGTGCACAGTCCCTGATGGCTCCTGTGCATCCCATCCCATAAGCGTGCTCAGCTCAGCGGGCAGCAAGCCCTTTAAAGATGTCTTTAACCACCCCGATGCACTGGAGCGGCACGTGGCTCGAGAGCGGAGCGGTTGTAACAGGGCAAACACGAAAATAACCTCGAAGTGACAGTGCTGGAAGGTGGGGGAGAGCCTCAAAAGCCACCGAGTGAGTCACATCACTACGGCTTCCTCTGCTAAAATGAAGTGTTCCTTTTTTGGTTTTGGGTTTATTGAATTGTCCTTCCTCCACGGGATGCTCGATGCATTTTCTGCTGGTGGGGTGGTTTGAAGTCAGCTGGGAGGGCAGGGGGGAGCGGAAACAGATGGCCATACTTTGGCTGCTCCATTGGTCTTGGTAAGATCAGTTATAGCGCTGTTGAAACAATTCCAGGTATTATTTTTGAAGCTGGTTTCCTCCTCCAAGCTGTGTGTCCTCCAAAGAATCTGTCCAAAGTCTCAAGATATTTACGTCTTCAATCTAAAAGTCAGAATGCATTAGCTAGGCAAACTTGGTCTCAGCGAGCTTAAAATAAACCAGTTCACTTTGAGTCTCACACTATTAAGTCAGTCGTGAGTGTCCTCACAGCAACTAGGCGTTGCAGGTTCCCAGCTCTCCAGCATGCTCCTCTGGTTGCTGATTTCTTGAGGGTGCACCAACGATCCCTGCAACCTCGCTAAGCCCCAGCTCAGCCCAAAAGGGAAAATCCTTAGGGACAAATTGCAAAAGCCTCGTTAAGGCCAAGTTCATAGACTCACAGGATGGTTTGGGTGGGAAGGGACCTTAAAGCCCACCCAGTCCCACCCCCTGCCATGGGCAGGGACACCTTCCACCAGACCAGGTTGCTCCAAGCCTCATCCAGCCTGGTCTTGGACACTTCCAGGGATGGAGCATCCACAGCTTCTCTGGGCAGCCTGTCACAGTGCTCCCCACCCTCTGCGGGAAGAATTCCTTCCTGATGTCCAATATAAATCTCCCTCTTTCAATTTCAACCTGTCACCCCTTGTGACAGACTACAGGACAGTGTCCCAACACGTGACATGACAGCAAGATTGTGCCTCTGTGGGGCAAATACCTGGAAATGTGTCCCAGTCCCAGTGACTGCAGACCCAGCCCTTGGGTTCCGCCTCCCCTCGGTGCCAGGCTGGGGTCACTGCTGGGCAGAAACGATGCTAAAGCGACTGTCTGAAGGTGACAGCAGGGACTTGCTCCTTGAAGAAGGATTTCTTAAGAAACAAGATATGGCTCTGACAAGGCATGATGACAGGAATCCAGGATGCTGCAGCAAAGCTGCTCTGCACCTTGCCAGGGAGGGAGGGAATGGGGGAAAACAGCCGCAATAAAAGACTCCAGTTTTACAAAGCCCAGCTGGTTTCTAGGGATCTTAATGAGCGCACAAAGTTGTTTTCCTTTTTCTCCCTGGCAGATAATGCCATTTTTAAGCCTCATAGCATAAAATTATATATTTTTGTAGGTGAAATTACTTGATTAATCATTAAGCTGTTGAATATTTTAAACAAACTAGACATCTGTTGTGAATGGTGAAAGCTGCACTGAAATAAAACTGCAGCTTTTAGGAGATCTCCATGCCAAAGGGAAGCTGGAAAGCTATTACAACCACTAGCTGCACAATGGAGAAAAATAATAACAATAACAGTATTAAAGGGGAAAAGATTTTGAGCAAGGAAAAATAAATGGAAAGTATAAAAATTTGTACTGTCCAGCCAAGAATGCTCATCTCGGCTCCCATAATCCCGTGTGATTTCTGTAACGGTGTCTTGGCCCAGGGATCCCCTGGAGTTGCTTTGTTTTCAGGGGTTTCTTCTGC